CCTGCACACAGGAAAGCCCTGAGGCCAGAGGTGGCCAGGAGGAGAAGTGGGTCGTGAGTCCGGTTGTAGTATCCAGTTCCAACCAAGCCGCCTCCACTGCCCGGGGCAGGCCCTGCATGCTCCTTCCACCCTAGAACAAGAGGGTGTGGCTGGCCAGGTGCGGGTGGCTCACGCCTGTAATCCTAATACTCTGGGAGGCCGAGGCGGGAGGATCGCTCGAGGTCAGGAGTTCGAAACCAGCCTGAGCAGGAGCGAGACCCCGTCTCTTCTAAAAATGGAAAGAAATTAATTGGCCAACTAAAAATACATAGAAAAAATTAGCCGGGCATGGTGGCGCATGCCTGTATTCCCAGCTACTCGGGAGGCTGAGGCAGGAGGATCGCTTGAGCCCAGGAGTTTGAGGTTGCTGTGAGCTAGGCTGACGCCACGGCACTCACTCTAGCCTGGGCAACAAAATGAGACTCTGTCTAAAAAAAAAAAAAAAAAAAGGAACATTTGCTCTAAAAAGAGCTGCAAAAACAAAAACTCAAGGGATAGGCCCACAGGACCTGTGTCCACCAGGACAGGAGTTGCACAGGTGGGGCCAGGGCCACCTGGGCCCACAGCAGCTCAGGTGCCCCAAGGTGCCCAACTCAGAGGGTCGGCCTAGCAGGAGCCCCTGGTGCGGATGGCCTGTCTCACACCTGCACTGACCGAACTCACCTGGGAGCACAGGTGAGACAGGACGAGGCAGCCCTGGACCCGGGGGTGGAGGGAAGCCTCACGAGGTCTCCCCCGGCATAAGGCGTCTTGACAAAAGCGAACACAGGGAACAGGGGAGCCTCTTGGGAAGTGGGCTCATGTGTCCTAATCGGGACAGAACGGAGGCCGAGGGTGCTGGGGCAGAGGGCGCCCCCTGGCGGCCCAGATGGCACCGGGCAGGTAGGGGCCCCACTCTCTTCTGCAGAGTCAGCCCTGGGAGGTCCAGCGTCCCCAGACACCTGGATTGCAGTAGTGAGGTGACGTGCTTCGCCCCTGCACGGCCCAGGCCCAGGGACGGGAGCCCTAGGTGTGGGAGTACGGCTGCCCACGTGCCATCCAGGTCTCCGAGGAGACCCCGGATCAGAGCTCCCACCCGCAGGAGTCAGGCCTGGGCTGTGCAGTGAGCCCCACACTGAACACACAGGTGGGCACACAGGTGAGGAAGAGGGCACACAGGTAGACATGCAGGTAGGTGTGCAGGAAAGGGAGAACAAGTTCAAGAAACAAACAACGGGCTTGGGCTACGCGAGGCGGCTGCAGCGGCGGAGCGTGTGTAGGCTCCGGGAAATCGCTCTGGGGCTGCATCCCTTTGCTCCTCCACGCTGGCAGCATTCTTGCCTGCTCTGCCCAAGCGTCTCTGCAGTGACACTGGCCGCCTTCCTCGGGGACTCGAGGACGGGGGCGGGGCGGCCTCCTGTGAGCTCGAGCTCTAGGAGCACCCGGGGACGGCGAGGTCTCTGGCTGAGCCACCCGCGCAGGCTCACTGTGCCTGTACTCCGGGCTCCAGTCTCACTCTCCGCCTCTCCAGGGCGGGCCACGAACCAGCACGTTAACAAAAAAACACCCGCATACCTCAGACCAAGCGAACCGGCTGTCTGCTTGGATCAGAGATGGCTTCAGCTGAGTGAGGCCCCATCATGCACGGCAACCTGCTGGCAGCACTTCTAGAACTGTCGGTTTTATCCAGTGATTTAGAGAAACACACGATTTTAACACTACTAGAAGTTGTGGATATACCAAGGAATGGAATGCACCAATTTCAAACTTTTGTGGGGGTAAAAAAATATTTAAACATTTAGGGTCTGCTTCTTGCGTCTCTCCCATAGACAGGAAGAGAACTCGCCCTGGTTCTCCCGCTGGCCTGACCAGTCGCCCCCAGCAGAGCTGCCAGACCAAGCCCAGCGCCAACCCACAGACGCAGGGAGCCATGGAGTTCGGGGGCCGGGGTGAAATAGCAAAGCAATCCCTCACCCTACGTCTCCCAAATTCTCAAGGCCAGTGCTGTGCACAGAGAAGATGTCCTCAATAAATACTTCATTAAGTTAAAAAAAAACTGCATTTGTGATGAGGTCTAGAAAGAAATTCTTAATGATGCAGAAAGGTGGGTGAATTAAAGGCCATGGTGGCGGTACAGAAATAGAGACAGTATAGAGCAGAGAGCCCAGATAAAGATACATGCGTGTGTGGGAACTCTGAAACACAAGTGGCATCATGAAGCAGCAGGGAAACAATGAGCTCATTAGTAGTGACACTGGAAAGACAACCTTATTCCAGTGAAAAGTAAAACTGGGTTCCTACCTCAGAACACACGTGAAGTCGATGCCAGCTGGGCTAGGGACACACTCTACCTCAGAACACACGTGCAGTCGATGCCAGCTGGGCTAGGGACACACATCCTACCTCAGAACACACGCACAGTCGAAGCCAGCTGAATTAGGCACACACCCTACCTCAGAACACACGTGCAGTCGATGCCAGCTGATCTAGGGACACACATCCTACCTCAGAACACACCTGCAGTCGATGCCAGCGGGCTAGGGACACACATCCTACCTCAGAACACACCAGCAGTCGATGCCAGCTGGGCTAGGGACACACATCTTACCTCAGAACACACGCACAGTCGATGCCAGCTGGGCTAGGGACACACATCCTACCTCAGAACACACGCACAGTCGAAGCCAGGTGGATTAGGCACACACTCTACCTCAGAACACACGCACAGTCGATGCCAGCTGGGCTAGGGACACACATCCTACCTCGTCGATGCCAGCTGGGCTAGGGACACACATCCTACCTCAGAACACACGCACAGTCGAAGCCAGGTGGATTAGGCACACACTCTACCTCAGAACACACGCACAGTCGATGCCAGCTGGGCTAGGGACACACATCCTACCTCAGAACACACGTGCAGTCGATGCCAGCGGGCTAGGGACACACACTCTACCTCAGAACACACGCACAGTCGATGCCAGCTGGGCTAGGGACACACATCCTACCTCAGAACACACGTGCAGTCGATGCCAGCTGGGCTAGGGACACACTCTACCTCAGGACACACGCGCAGTCGATGCCAGCTGGGCTAGGGACACACATCCTACCGCAGAATACACGCACAGTCGAAGCCAGGTGGATTAGGCACACACCCTACCTCAGAACACACGTGCAGTCGATGCCAGCTGATCTAGGGACACACATCCCACCTCAGAACACACGCGCAGTCGATGCCAGCGGGCTAGGGACACACTCTACCTCAGAACACACGCGCAGTCGATGCCAGTGGGCTAGGGACACACATCCTACCGCAGAACACACGCACAGTCGAAGCCAGGTGGGCTAGGGACACACATCCTACCTCAGAACACATGCATGGTCGATGCCAGCTGGGCTAGGGACACACTCTACCTCAGGACACACGCGCAGTCGATGCCAGCTGGGCTAGGGACACACATCCTACCTCAGAACACACGCACGGTCGATGCCAGCTGGGCTAGGGACACACATCCTACCTCAGAACACACGCACAGTCGAAGCCAGGTGGATTAGGCACACACCCTACCTCAGAACACACGTGCAGTCGATGCCAGCTGATCTAGGGACACACATCCCACCTCAGGACACACGTGCAGTCCATGCCAGCGGGCTAGGGACATATCCTACCTCAGAACACACGCGCAGTCGATGCCAGGTGGATTAGGCACACACCCTACCTCAGAACACACGTGCAGTTGACGCCAGCTGATCTAGGGACACACATCCCACCTCAGAACACACGTGCAGTCCATGCCAGCTGGGCTAGGGACACACTGTACCTCAGAACACACGCGCAGTCGATGCCAGCTGGGCTAGGGACACACATCCTACCTCAGAACACATGCGCAGTCGATGCCAGCTGGGCTAGGGACACACTCTACCTCAGAACACACGCGCAGTCGATGCCAGCTGGGCTAGGGACACACATCCCACCTCAGAACACACGTGCAGTCGATGCCAGCTGGGCTAGGGACACACATCCTACCTCAGAACACACATGTGGTCGATACCAGCTGGACTAGGGACACACATCCTACCTCCGGGCACATGCGCAGTCAATACCAGTTAGATTAGACACACATCCTACCTCAGGGCACATGCGCAGTCTGTACCTGCTGGATCAGAGAGACATACTCACAAAATATCTTTATGACGTGGGATTGGGGAAAGAATTCTTTAGCAAGTCTAAGATGCTCAAGCCATAAAGAGAAAAACTGAAAAATTTTACTAGATAATAGTCAAAAACTTAAAAAAAACATTATTCTAAATAACGTTAAGACAACGGGTAGATTGCAAGAAAATATTTATAACATGTAACAAAGGATTAATAGCCAGAACAAAGAATATCAATCCAGTCAGAACAAGATAACCAGTGGGCAAATGGGGAAAGACATACAGAGGCAATACACAGAGGAGGAAATCCAGTCCATTAACATCTTATCAGACTACTTGTCCACTCAACACCACGAGAGGTTTTGCCCACATTCAGCCGCTCACTACTGCTGGCATCACCGCTGCTGACGGATGAATCAATTACTGTGTGTTTGAGGGTCATTTATGATCTGAAAACCACAATGACCCGCCAATTCCAAATAACTTTACAGAGACATCTTGGGAGAGACACTGACATTTTAACAAAAGAAATGAAAAGTCCTGACGCAGGGATATTTATTTTGTGGTAAATCTTGGATTTAATGATTGTCTCCTCTTGAATATTTGATTGTAACGTTCATCCGAATATCTTAAAACGCCAAGGGGGGAGAACCCCCCAGGTCACAGACAACCAGCGAGCGGGGTGAGATGCCTTTGACATCCAGACCAGTCTGAGGTCCCCTGTTTCTTTCTCATGCACACTGATAGGAACAGACAAAAAAAAGTTATTTTTAAGAGAGATGTATTCTTGAAGAAAATTTTAATTAAAAAAAAATAAATCAAAAGAAAAATTGAACAGTGCCTAAATCTTTATTTTTCATAACCTACACTTTTTTTTTTTCAAATTAGACATTTTTACACCGAATGACACAAAAGGAAACTTAAATTACCAATAGTTTACATGTAAGCTTGATTCCAGTCTCAATGAAAGAAAAGTAGAACAAAGACAAAAACCCTCGGGATGCGCCCACATCACATCACACTCCCGCTCACGACCTGGCGGCTGCTGTGTGCGGTCAGTCTGCGCCGCCACGGCGCTGAGCACACGGCCACCCCCGAGGCTTGCCGGAGGGGCACACCCGGACAGGCGTGCGCCACCCACGACCTGTCGCCTGGACGCACCGACCCAGCTTTTAGACAGACCCGCAGAAATCCTGACTGGACAGCAGCGTGAGGAGGCATGTTCTGCCGCCCGCTGGCAGGGACCCTGACACCCAGGACAGTGGCCCGGGAGAGTGGCTCCTCCCCTGGAATTCCTGCCTGGAGCAGCAGGGCCAGACTTTTCTGCCTCTCTCTCCACATGGTAAGAATCATCACACGAATTTATGATTTCAAGATGTCATTGGTCATGGCTGGGGGACAGGGAAGAGTTAACTTAAAAAACAAACAAAAAAAACGTGCGAGAGCCACTGTCGCCCTGGCGAAGCCTGCTGCTGCCGCCACCGCACTTCCCATGTGACAACTCCTGCTCTCTTCTGAGCGGAGAATCTCAGCGAGATCAGAAAGGTCTTTCTGACATTACACAGCTATTTGGCATGTCACCTTTGCTTAATTAAAAAGAATGCTGTAAAAATCACATCCAAGCAGGGCCGCAGCGCTTGGGGCAGCAGGCTGTCGCTGGCTGGGCGGTGACCGCAGCGTGGCCCGAGACAACCGCCGCCAAGCCTGCCCTGCGCTCCTGCAGGTGGCCGTGGTGCCCACGCGGCTCTGACCTCGCACCCCGTGCTGCCCTGCGCTCGCCTCTGGGGGAGAGGCTGCTCGTTATCAAAGACCGAGGCCTTGCTTGGCGGGTGGGCGGGCGCCCCGGTTTGGGATCGAGCGCGGGCCGACAGTGCCCGGCCGTCCCCAGCAAAGCCATGCCACAGAGGGCCTGGGCCTCAGTCACCTTCCCTGCTTTGACTGTTAGTTTGGGGTTCAGAGGTCAATTATTTCTGATTTTTTTTTTTTTTTTTTTTGGCCAGTGATCTGACAACTAGAAAGAAAGAAATCCCCGAATTCCTCTAACAGGCATTTGAAAACAGCCAGCAGCGTGTGCGTCCCTGTGTGTCTGACTGATGGCAAAGGACAGGAAGGAAATGGTCAAATGTATCGGCGTGTTTTCCTCTGCAGGGTGAACCATGCTTGGCCACTTTCGACTTTAATTAGTAGATGACTTTTTTTTACCTTCAGTTGAAGATCCTGCCAGTTTTTGCTTTCTAGATTTTGCTTCAAAAAACCCTTTCACGTTATGTGTGACTAGTATGCATTTACATACTTTTAAAAAGCGCATGGAGACATCTGAAGGCTTTCAGTGAGACTTTCCATTTCCCTTTTGCAGCAAACAGCCAGCCTCAGTTCAACACACCAGTATAAGAGAAAAAGAAAAAAAAAAATCTCAACAAATTAAAATAATATTCAAACCACAACATTTAGTTTATCTACATCCAGCTCAACAGCAACATTTATAATATATCAATAATTTTTATCAGATTTTTCTCTGTAGGGTACCTTTTTTTAATATGTTCTGATTATTTACAACTGTACAAGCAAAGCACACGCCCAAGTGCACATATTTAATACAGTATCGACTAATCGCATTTACAGGATTCTCCGACCATCTGAAAAAAGGTCAGCTGTGTGAGATCTCCACGGTATGGTACAAACAACGGCTAGTCCTTACGCTACAGACGCCCACTCAGCGAAACCGGCGACAGACCCACACGGACCGAGCAGCTGGCCTGGCCGCGCCGACCCGGGCCAGGCTCCGCGAGCGCGAGGCTGTCACATACAAAAGTTAAGGCAAAGTCATTTTCAAGTTTAAATAAAATTCAAGTCTTTAAATATTGGATGGAAATAATTCTTTTCTTAAAAAAACCCCTCAGTCTCTTTGTTAAATAACATCTTGTGGAATAAACTGTATGGTTACATTTAGCAGGAAATATTCTTAACTTTAATGTTTGCTGCTTAGAATACTTAAAGAAGAATTTTAGGCATTTTAAAACAAAATAATTTATATTTAACTTTATTATAAACTCGCTAACTTTAGTGCATCCTTGTTCTTCAGAAGTGCGGCACTTCCAGAAGTGAATCCACGAGCCCTCGTCCTGGAGGTGAGAGAGCGGGGATCCTCGTCCTCCACCTGCCAGACAGGGCAACCGAGACACCCTTCCCGCACAATCACGTGACTGTGGACCGCACGCCGACGCAGAGGTACCGGAAGACGTCCACGCGGAGCTGGCCGGGACGCGGACTCTCTCCAACCAGGTGCCAGGGGGGCGCGGGAGGGGGGGACACGGACGAACATGTGCACGGAGCAGGCGTCTCCACGGGAGCTCACGGGGATCAGCACGACATCGTGGGACAACTTCTGGTGATGTGTCAGTGGGCAACAGAGTCTGTGTGTTCACTGAGGTTCTATTCACAATGTGCTTTGAATTTATTTTACATAATAGCCACTTGGAACTGGGGTGAGAAGCTGGTTACTTGCTTGCAGTACATCAGACTCAAAGGTCTCGGGTCTCCCTAGGTGCTCTCTGCAGGTTCATTCTGCCACTAGATCAAAAAAGGGACTCTGCGTCTGTAAATGCCAGAGTCCCCACTGCGGTTTTTCCGTGCCGGGGCCCTGAGGCCGCCAGCCCCTCCGCCTCGGGCCACGCCTGCCTCTGCCGGAGCCATCGGCCCTCCCCTCCTGCTGGGGCTTCCCACGCGTATGCACTAGCAGACCAGGTACTGAAAAGAGAAGTAGCATCATCGCTCCTTAATTTAGAAAAACTCACTATGTATAGCTTGCATTCAGAGCCACGTGGAGGCTTAATAAAAAAACATCAATTTGTCAGGATAAATGCATTCTCTATCCTGGAAAAAAAAAATTCTGACTTATGCATCACCTCCAGTTAAGCACCAACCTAAAATAAGGTTTATATTAATTAAATCCTGAAAAATAGATTTCTTTTTTCCTAGAGGGGACAATCCGACTCGCAGAAGAAAAACCACCTGCAGGACCCCGCCGGCCTCACACACTGCAAGCCCCTAACCAGCAACTCATCCCCGCACTGAGTGGGAAGAGTGTCTCGTGTGGTGACCGCAGCTCTCCGCGCCCCCGGACCTGCGGCTCTCACTGCGGAGACTTGGGGGGCGTGCTCTGTTCCCTGCTGAGGCGCTTCCCCAGGGCGGGGGGCGAGGGCCGGCGCCCAGGCTGCCGCCTCTGGTCTCTGGGGGCTCCCGGCGTGGACTTGAGGGCGGGGGGCTCCCGGTGTCTGTCCACGGGCTCCGCGGGCTGCTTCTCCTCCTTCCCGCAACCGGCGGCGCTCGCCTTGTGTTCTCTCGGGGGTGGCAGCGGGGAGGAGGGGGGCTCTTTACTCGTTCTCTGACAGATCTCTGCGTAGCTGGGCTTCCGCAGCTCCTGGAAACAGACAAGCGTTGGGTCACACAGGGCGACACCTCCAAGGACAACAAGGGGAATCTCACTCACTCAAAGGACGGTTTACTCCTAACCATGATACATTTCCATCTTCACCAGTGATTTTAACTTTAAAAAGTTCATACAATCCACCGATTTACTTCCCCTACAGCAAGCCTTTCCCTCCAGGAATCTTCTAAAAATGGATAAAACCGCGGCAGCTGTAGGCGCAGGCTGCACTCCGAGCTGTATGGCCCTAGCGGGAGCCTCAAAACAAAGACAAGGCGGAAGAGACAGAGACGCGGCTGGCGTCTGCCCCAGCGCCCACACGGCGGACCACAGCAGCCTGTGAAAGGGCGTCGCCTGCTCTGAACTCGAGGGCTGGAAACGTGCGCGGAGAGCGACACAGATGCCAGCACTGCAGAGACTCGGTGGCGAGCGCACACAGAAGGCGGGGCGCGCGGGCCGGCCTCGGAAAGGGGCGGCGTGCCATTTGCAGCTGCCTGGGTAGCGCTGGAGGCTGCGGCTCTGCGGGACGCGCCTCAGGAACAGAGAAGCAACAAGTGCTGCATGTCCTCACGACAAGCAGGGGCTCAGTTGCGGTGACCCAGAGGCAAGCAGGGAGGACGTTGGCACTGGGGACTCCGATGGGTGCGTGGGGGGGGAAGCCACCTGTCGGTACAACGTGCACAACTTGGGTGACAGGTGCACTGAGAACCACTACACCATTCCTCCATCTAGCCAAGATCCACTCGTACCCCCTAAGACCTATCTAAATACAAACTAAATTATTTTTAAAAATTTAGAAACCTTAAGCACACAAAAACGAATGGTGAAAATAAAGGATAACAGGGTCTTCAGATAAGTGGAGGCATAAAGGCTAAATAACCAAAAGCTCTAAAATATTTCACCTACGAAAACGATTTGTTACCTGAATAATCCTGACCTATTAAAAAAAATCTTCAGACTCACCCAGTGGACAGCAAGGGCTTAAACTTCCAAATCTAAGGAAAAGGCTCACTCAGAATCAAACTGAGGATGGTGCAGACCAGAAGAGGCTGGACTCACCAGGGAGGAAGACCACCAGACGGGAGCCACAGCGTGTGGACCTGCCAGACCTGGGGGACTTAGCGGCTTGTGGGGGCCCTGTCTTGTTCTTCCTGTTTCTTTCTCTGTTTTATTTTCTTTCTTTGGAGACAAGGTCCCACTCTGTCGCCCAGGCTGGAGTGCTGTGGCATAGTCATAGCTCACTGCAGCCTCCAACTCCTGGGCTCAGGCGATACTCCTGCCTCAGCCTCCCAAAGTGCTGGAATTACAGGCATGAGGCACCGCACCCGGCCCTTGCTATCTTGTTACCACACAGATGACTCACACACACAGGCAATGTGTACTCGATCGTAACTCCTGCAAAAGAACTGGCACTGGGATCTCGTTACTGTTGCAGAAGCCTCCACTGACCAACGCTGGAACACAGGGACGTGATGGCAAGAGATAACCAGGGTGGGAGTGGAGAGTCTCAGGGCACTGTGCACAGAAAACGCAACACGCAGACGCAGATGAAATCCCACCACACTGGGTTTGATTCACAAACGGTCTGGCGCGGGAGGGCACTGCCGGCCGGGAGCAGGAGGCGCGAGACACGTACCGTGGCGGCTCCATTCACCTGCACTGACTTGCACGCGGTTGTGGCGAGGGCTGAGGGGAGCCTGTCCCCGCCGTGGGCTTCCCGCTGCTTTTCCGCTGCCTTGGGGTCCCTGCGAAAACGACATCTGGTGTTTGAATCTCGCGCAGCCTCAGGGGCCGGTCAGCCAGCGAAGAGCACGGAGCTGGCAGGGGGTGGGTACTCACTCGTGCAGGCAGGCCGGGGAGGGGGGTCGCTCGTACGCTGCGGACGCAGCACAGGAGGCTGGCGCCAGGGGCTCTCTGGGGACAGCGACGGGGACAGCGTTCGAACTCGCGTCTGCACCGAGGCTCTGAAAATCACCGAGTGACAGTTTATAATGGGGTGAAGGAGCACGCGTCAGACTTCTGCTACAGGCGCACAGAAACCTCCACCACATCCGCAGGGCCTGCTGGCGTCTTCCCCATGGAGGACGCAGGAGTGAACCCCAGACCTCACCCCCGAGGCGGAGGGTGGAGCCGCAGGCTCTCTGCAGTCCCCGCCCACTGCAGCTCTGAGCCCCAGTGTCTCGTCAACATGAGGAGCAGCAACCGGGACTGCTGCACTTGGCTATAGAGTCAGGTTCAGACTTTTTCTTGTCTTTCTTTTTTTAATTTTAAAGAGATTTATTCTGAGCCAAATTTGAGGGCTATGACCCAGAGAGCCATGCCCAAGAAGCCTTGAGCAGGTGGACTCCCAGACCTTTGTAAAGTAGCAATTTCTTCAGGAGAAATCTTACACAGAGATTCAAAATACACTAAGTAGTAGCTGCTGTTTCTGAAGCGGGGTGCAGATCTGCCTGTTCTCCTCCTGGCCTAGCAGGGTGTAAGCCACAGTGTGGACACTAGAACTCATGGTCTTTACAGCGCACGGATTCCCTGACACGCTTCTGCAAGTCATTAAACACTCAGTAACCACGATGTGGAAATTTAAGACTTATGGTAATTTTTAACACATGCCAAATTTAATGTGTGATTGCTACTATAAAACACAGAACCCTGGAATGCACCCAACCTCCAAGGCTGCAAACAGGAACAACTGCCATCTACTAATGGGAAAAGGACCGAACACTTCACCTGGCATCGGTTTCAAGACACTGCAGCAAATCCACCCTACACCTGCCCCAGACACTGAGGAACTTTGCACCCACAGCAGTGGCTCTGACTCCAGCTGTGCAGTGGTTCCCTCCCCAAATCCACCCTACACCTGCCCCAGACACTGAGGAACCTCGCACCCACAGCAGTGGCTCTGACTCCAGCTGTGCAGTGGTTCCTCCCCTCCTCCTCCCGCAGGCTCTTCCTGGGCACCTGCTATGCATGGCCAGGAGCTGGGCAGAAAGGGTTTCTATGCACTGTCCGGAGCCTTCAAACAACAATCCCAGCAACAGAACAACTCCCACCTTCAGCGTGTCAACCACACTGGACCCAAGAATACTGAAATAAGCTCCTGACTTGTGCAGCTCAGGCAGATGCTTAGGGCGACGGCCACTGCAGTGGGTGACGGCACCTCATGTGGCAGCCGACGGGCCTCACCAAAAGCCACCAGCAACACAGCTCTTCCAGGCTTCTCGCTACTCATCTCATAGAGATGACTAAAAATTATGTTACTTCCAGTGCAATTCAGATTTTCCTGTTTTGTTCTGCTGTCTTGTAAAACAAAGGCAGGTCTGAGTAACCACAATGAAAATGCAACCTACGTTTATGGGTGAGAGAAAGGGTCTGAACAGCCCCTCAGGGCAGAGGTTTCTACTCCTGCCCTCAGCAGACAGCAAGGGGAAGACAGGGCCTGGCCTGGGTCCAGCACAGACTTCATCCCTCCAGGTCCGCGTGACCCTGCGAGTCGCTGACCTCTAACCTCTAACCTCTTGTGAATGTTAAACACTGACGTGTGTAAGCAGCTCAGCCAAGTGCCGACAGGACACCAGCACTTGGTGATGTCAACAGCCATTAAACACACAAGGTATACTTTACCCTTTCTTTTGCTGATCCTACTATCAAGCCAGATAGCCTGTTTTCAAACAGGTCCTCTGTCTTCAAGTTGCCGGCAGCTCCAGGCAGCGGGGGGAAGTTGGACAGCCCCAGCTCGAAGCTCGGTGACGGAGGCTTTGGTGGCGTTGGAGACTGCGTCTGGCTGTTCTGCAACAGAACGGCACCCCAGAGTCATGCGGTGAGCAGAGAAGGCCCAAGAGCAAAGGACCTTCTCCCTCCACGTTTTCTGGAAAAGTCTGCGAGCAAACAACGCCCAGACGACTTGCCCAGACAACCCTCCCCCACCCAGTCCAAGGCCATCTGCAAGGCAGTATCAACCACCCAGAGCAGAGGTGTGAGGCTGGACTCTCGAGACTGCTGCCGGCCCAAGGGACACATCACAAGGGACATACAGTCAGCGTGCTGTCACAGGGCCACCTCTCCATGACCACCAGGGTCCTCTGCTGTCCAGCAGTCGGCCACAGCAGGGAGGATAGGCGTGTGCGAGGACAGAGTGACAGCTGGACAGGGCGGAGTTACCTGAACAGTAACTTCCTGGAACACTTTATATTACTGCTTCAGCCTCCCGAGTAGCTGGGATTACAGGCATGCGCCACCATGCCCGGATAATTTTTTGTATATATATTTTTAGTTGGTCAATTAATTTCTTTCTATTTTTAGTAGAGATGGGATCTCGCTCAGGCTGGTTTTGAACTCCTGCCCTCCAGCAATCCGCCCACCTTGGCCTCCCAGAGTGCTAGGAATACAGGCATGAGCCACCCCGCCCGGCCTTTAATAAGTTTTTATCGGAGTCTTTGACTTCAAGAAAGTAAACTCAGCACTTTTCTAGACAGCAGGACTGAGGGGGAAAATATGGTAAACTTAGTATGATAACATGTGAGCATAATTCACAAGCCCAAGGTCTCAGGAGAAAGGCAGTGATACATTTTTACTAGAAACCGTCACCTAACTTTAACAAGCTAGAAGCCATTTGCAAGTACCCGGTCCCTTGGCTGACGACACAGGGTACAGAAAGGGGAAGTCAGTTTACATACAGGCGGGTGTGAGTGTTTTTGGTTGGAAGCTGCTTCAACCAGGAAGCAAAGCTCTCGTGGGGCCCGCCCGACTTGAAAAGGCTCCCAGTTCCCAGACGTTTAAACCAACAGGAGGATGGTCCCTACGTTAAGCATCTTCTAGAGGAAACATGTCAGGACTCAGTGAGAGCAGTACAGGGATGAAGGAATCCAAGCTGACAGAAGCCCACTGTCTGTTCTGAGAGTCCGTGACTTTTCTGCGGCACAGGTGTACGGTTCTACCCTACTTCTTCCCGGCTATGTGGATGGACCTACGGGTCTGGCTGGGCCCAAATGCCCACGTGTCTGTTAGCCACGTGCAGACTCCTGCAGCTGTTGGAGTGCGTAAGCGTGACAACAGGCACGTTCTCCACGATACACGCAACACAGAGCAGCGCTCCTGAGCTCCCCGGTGTTCATAGGCATGAACACACGGACCAGGATGACAGATGGAAGCGGCGGCTGCCTCCCGGCAGGCATGACAGCACCTGCGCGTTCATGACAGTGTTCAGATGAGGGCCCCGTTCGTCCAAGTGGTCACGGGAACTCACCGACTCCAGCTGGACTTAACTGACACCAAGTACCTCACCAAAGGGCTCACCACAAAGCTGCGTTAGAGGCGCAGCTTCTGAGTCTGCACAAAGAGGACGTGTGTGCTGGCACGAGAACACACGTGGCAGCTCAGGGGCTGGGCGGGGACTTTCTCGGGGTCTTCTCCAGTCCTCCGAGTGTGGGCCGCTCACCACACCTGCAAGCCCGGCACCTACTCCTGAATGTCACCGTCACACACATGGCTGATGCTGCCGTGACCTCTTCCACCCTCGTGGTGGGAAGCCCCACGCCAGCCTCCACTGACGCCCAGCACGGACGGAGTCCACGGGGGACACCCATCAGCCCCAACAGAAATGACTGCAGCTCGCGCACACGCCCATCAGCCCCAACAGAAACGACTGCAGCTCGCGCACACGCGTGCTCACTGTGTATCTGGGGCCTGTCCCGTCTGTAAGTGACAGCAGAAGGCAGTGACACTCTGTACACGACAGGCACATGTGAAGGAAAGCTTTGAAGGAAAAACACCAGTGAACACGCCCCACGGGGGAGAAGGTCATTCTAAATGCTCGAGTCACTTCAGATGGCACAAGGTGGCCACCCCACCGAAGGACTCATCCGAACACCGCGCGCCACGGCTGTGTGCGCGAGGACGCTCTGGCCTCAGGCCCAGCAGCACAGACAGAACACACTCAGCACACAAGTCAGCGACTGGGACTTCCAAACCTCCACCATCTCCTCCTCCTCCCTCAGCTACATAAAAAATGTCAGTTATTACTTAGTAGGTTTCAAGTTAAAAGAAAAAGTCTTTCCAAAGGCTCCTTCTCATGTCTTACCCTCAACCCGTTTAATTAACTCTCATGTTTGGTTGGTATAAATTAGACTCAAGTATCTTGTAAAGATGACACATGCTTTGTGTACTCACTGTAAACTTCTCCTCTCTTTTCTTCCGATAGCCAAAGGAATTTTTCCTAGAGGAATGGAAAGTAAAAGACTGTTACTTTTCTCCAACTGGAAAATCTTCCACTGAGCATGTTTATGCTCACATATTTTAAGCAAGCATCAATGAAGTCTTTACTACTTTGTCATCTTCCAAAGATGACTTTTGGTTCTGAAATCCCAGCCTTAACAAGAATCCGCAAAACAATAACAGAAGCTTTATAGTAAAGGACTAACCCTGATGCCTAGATAGGTAAATAAAAGAAAAATATTGGCTGGGCACGGTGGCTCACGCCTGTATCCTAGCCCTCTGGGAGGCTGAGGCAGGAGGACTGCTCACGGTCAGGAGTTCCAAACTAGCCTGAGCAAGAGCGAGACCCCCGTCTCCACTAAAAAAATAGAAAGAAATTAATTGGACAACTAAAAATATATAGAAAAAGTTAGCCAGGCATGGTGGCGCATGCCTGTAGTCCCAGCTACTCAGGAGGCTGAGGCAGAAGGATCGCTTGAGCCCAGGAGTTGGAGGTTGCTGTGAGCTAGGGTGATGCCACGGTACTCTAGTCCGGGCAACAGAGTGAGACTCTGGCAAAAAACAAAACAAAACAAAAAAAACATTTATTAGAAGAACTTACCTAGTGGCCACTTAAAATTTTTGCTAAGATATGGCATGTGCGTATCTGTTCAGCTGGAATGACAAGATGTATAAAATCTGATACTGAACTACATAGGTGAGCTGTTAAGATGGTGAGTGAGAATTTATCGAGTGTGTTTGCTCATCAGCAAAATTTAAAAGACCCCACAGGACCTGCTTGCCTGGGCCCAGCTTCAGCCTCCAGTGCTGCTGTGTGCCACGCACAGAGGGAGCCACGGGAGGACCCCTGACCGCCCACGCGCCGTCAGCCCCACTCGCCAGCCTTTAGAACCACGTTGAGCGTTTCTGCTTGCAAGCCCAGAGCCCCCGCGGGCAGTAAGGAAGGCCGCACACGCGATTCAGAGCTGCGCAGACACACACGTGTGAAGGGGCAGCTCCGCGTCGGGCCCTGAGGCCGTGAGAGGCCCGACATTTCCACGGGCCCTGGACGGGCTTGTGTGGTCCAGCAAGTCACATGTTGATTTTGATGTATAATTTTGGTTTTATTTATTTATCCCTTTATCACTTCAAGTGAATGCACAGACTCTCCAGGGGCCTTATATTACATAAGCTGGAGGGGAGGTCAGAGATGATCCTCATGCATTTCCTTATTTCCAGAAAACCAGAAGTGGTCTTGCCTAGGGAAACACGACCAACTGAAACAGAAGCTGAGGTCCCTCTCTCCGCCTCCGCGCCAGGCGAAGGAGCTGGCAGGCCTCTGGCTGCTCCCCCAGAGCACGGCGGTGCCTGTGGGGTCTGGGGCAGGGCCCGCTGTCTCCCGCAGACAACCGCCCCACAGCAGCTCCTGGCTTTCTGCTGGGCCCTGGCAGAGGCTGCAGGCCCGGCGACGGGACACGCGGTGGCACAGCCAGCACAGCACGCCACCACCCTGCGGGGACAGGTGGCTGGGCCCTGTGCCGCTGGGCATCCTCTCCGCGACCACCCACGGCCTCCTGGGAAGCCTGACCTGGCGTGTCCTGGACGAGGACCGCGGACGCCACACGACAGCCAGCACTGCCCCACCAGGAGCACCTGGAGCCCCGGGCACGCGCCAACCAGGGTCCACACTCCGACTCGGGGCAGAGACTCCACACAGACCCTGCCCGGGGCAGCCTCGCCACAGACCTGGCCACGGGGGCGGGGCCGCACCTGCCTGCCCTGGTCCAGCCTGCAGCACACCAGGGGACCCGACCTGAGCTTTCTGCACAATCACGGCGCTGCACACACCCACGCCCGCCCTGGAAACCCACCTGCGGTCGGTGGCAGCGCCCACCACTCTGAGCGCAGGCCAGGAGGGCCAGGACCTGTGACGGGGCCAGGTGTGCCCCACTCACGGGATGGCTCAGAGGCACCACAGCGGAGGAGTGATCACCGTGACGCCCACAGCTCTGACCGTGGTGACGGGGATGCCCTGGACCTGAAGAGGAACGCCTTTCCGGGGCGACAGCAGTGGCTGCACCGAGGCAGAGATGGCCACTGGCCCCTGAGACCCTCGCTCCACTGCACCCGCCGTGGCGCCGTGCAGGGAAGCGGGCCTCTCAGGGCCTCCGTCCAGTAGAAAACGTCAGAGGGAAACAAGACAAACCCTCCCCAGAAGGGGACGGGAGGGGGTGCCTAGTGGGGTCGGGGTCGCCCTCCTACTGGGGGAGGGACCTGGGGGCCGGCGACACCGCCAGGGAGGCTGCAGGCACAGGGAGCTGAGCGCCAAACTCCTGGTCTGCCATCAACAGCGACCGTGACCTGCAACTGTGCGATTCCACCTACAGTTCTCATTAAATAATTTCTCTGCTCTGAAAGTAGCCACTCGCAGCAATTACATAAACCTTTCATGTTTATAGCCTTCAATTAGGTTTTCTGTGCAACTAGTTATAAAGCATATCTAAATTAAAGGATTCAGAACATATCGACAGTTTATGACAGGTACACAGCACCTGCCCAGCAACTCACCTTCCCCGCCCTAAACCGGGCGAGGACTCGAGGCTGCTGGGCTCCACGCGCCCGGTGCCAGCCTCTCTCTTGGCGTACGTGGAAGGGTTCTGCACCCGCGCTCTGGCTTGACCTGCTTGCCTCGTCTGTGGGCTCCGCACACCGTTAATTAACCGATCCGCAGTGAAGTTAAATATTGAAGGGCTTTCTAACAACCCCGGTCCTCTTTCTGCACTGGGAATCGTGTGGCGCAGATGAGATTTACTGGGATTCCTGTAAATAGAACGTTTGCATATGCTCAACTATAAAACAATCCGGGCATTATAAAATGAGTGTGCTAATGTGGAATATCTAAGCTAAAAGCTGTTTTCTATTTAATGAAATGTAAAGACGTCACTTGGCAAAGGTTTACATATCATACTCAGGACAATGCGAATCTACCAGTAATGTGCTGAGGCCCTGCTTCTCTGTGCCGCAGTCTGGGGCCAGATTAGAAAGCAGGCGCACACGGTGGGATGCACTGCCCGACAGCCACGCAGGCAGCTACGGCAGACCTCAGTGTCTAGTCTTTACAGAACGCAGCGGTGTGCTTCGGCTGCTCTGCTCTGGTGCATGAGCCCAGTGCCAAACGCATCTATCATCACGGTCCCGCAACTCAGCTGCGCGCAGCTCACATGCACGGTCAGTTCTTGGGGCACTTGCCTGCTTCTGGGAGGATACTGTCTGAGTGAAGTCAGCGGAGACGCCGCAGGTTTGAACGTTGGAGACGTAAACCCGTTTAAGAATCCAGTATTTGGAAATGGAGTCACCTGGATCCATAAAAAGAAAAAAAACAACACACACACACACACACACACGTAAACGAACCATGAAATGGACTTCAAATTGGTTAGTCCTATTATATCTGCGGGGACCGAGGTTGTTTCTTGACCTTGACGGGATGGTATGCCCCATGTTACACTCGGAAAATAATCACAGGTTGAGAAAGCGTGCCGTACGGTTATCACCGACGGGTGGTGTTTACTGAGCATGGACCTTTCCTGCACCCTGTCAGTCCATCCTCAAAACGATTGCTGAGGAAGATGATTCACACGTGTAGAAACTGACAGTAAGAGGGAAAAGACACCCGCTCAAGATCACGTGGGCTCCTGAGCACGGGAGATGTGTCCTTCAACATACTGTCTGGAAAAACCCAAATCCTCACCCCCATGCTCACTCACAACACCCCTCTCCATGCCCGGGAGGAAGCACAGGGTTCTTCCTTTTTCCTGATGACTCTAATACAACTCGTCAAGTTCAACCCCTGGACCACGTCCAGACCTGCTGAGACTCAAGCGTCTGTCTGTCAGGGAGTGTTATCCCTAACCTCTGCCTCTGTGCACCCCCTGCTCTGAAGAGCAGGCTATCTTCAGACCATAAATAATTATTCCCCAGGCCACGGTATGAGGTGACACATGGCTTTCAAATATACTGACATAAGATTTAGAAGAAAATCAGAAGGGGTTACACGGGGCCTATAACCCTAATGGGCATATACGATAGTAAAAAGTTAAATATATTAAGCATGAAATTTTAAATATCAGCCAACTGATTTTTCAAATCTAGACACATACAAAAGTAGGATGAAACTTGGCGTGGAAACTGTTCTTTGAAAAGAAAAGGGAAGAGAGCGATCGCACTCTTCGGCTTGTGGACGTGCGGCCCCCAGTTCCCTGACCCGACCTCCCTGCAACAGCACTTGACCCCACGATGCACTGGGGTCACAGAGAGACACAGAGGCCCTCCTCGATATAAAGAAAGGGGAAAGAAATAGAGAAGAAAAAAGCAAGTGACTCTCTTTAACAAAGGCTAACTGGAAGCCATAACAGAAAAGAAGTATTAGAGACAGCTCAGGCCCAAAGTAATGTCATTCTCTGACTTGCAACAAAAGGGAAACACTGAAAACTGTGTGAGAATCTAAAGTTTACAACTTGAGAAACTCTAGCCTGCAAGAATCAGACTATTTAAAAATACATTAAAAAAATAAATAAATAAAAATACATCACGCCAGAAGAGCTATTCATTCAGACTTAGATTCTATGAATTATAAATCAGTTAAGACTAATAAACACTATTTCACATATATAATTTTACACACAGAACTCTGCTATTTGCGTAATTTTGCTCAGGAGCTAAAAAATAAAATTGGCTACATAAAAAATAAAACTGGTTACTAACACGGTAACTTCATACCCCAACTTGCTGGGGTAGACAGGCCCTACCTCACTTTGGATCCAAGGGGAGTCGGCGCAGGAGGCAGCCGCTGGAGAGCCCTGATGCCACAGGCCCCGCCAGCAGTCACACACCGCGGCCTGAATGGGCAATGCCAGGAGGGCCTGTCCTCTCGGGCTGGGCAAGTGTGACCACAGCAGTGGGCGGAGCAGCCAACTACAGACTGCGCAGGGCGAGCTGGCACCAGCCAGACCGGGGAAGGTCACTTGGCAGCAAGCGAGTGCCCACCGACATTAAGGTGCTCTCGTGACGTGTCTTGGGGATAGAAACTGTACAGCTACGGGTATGCTTTCATAATGGAATGATACTGCAAAGAAACAGTGCGTTTTCTTACCAGTAGGATTCACTCAAAAGAGATAGAAATAATTTGGACTTTAGCCACTTGTGTGCCAAGTGTTCTTTTACTGCAATTGTCCCAGACTTCCAGGGGACAGTCACAGCCCCGCTGAGAGTCCCTCCTAAAATGTCTCTCTGTCCCTGCCTGTCCCTCACAGGGCCATGGGAGCTATTTTCTAAGTGGAGTATGACTTCATTTCCCTGCTCAGACACCTCAGATGACTTCTCACAAGCCACGAGGTGAAAGCCAACATGCTTCAGGACAGTCCAGGGCCTGCAGGCTGCCACCAGCCCGCCCCAGCTCCCTGTCCAGAACATGCAGGCTGCCACCAGCCCGCCCCAGCTCCCTGTCCAGAACATGCAGGTTGCCACCAGCCCGCCCCAGCTCCCTGTCCAGAACATGCAGGCTGCCACCAGCCCGCCCCAGCTCCCTGTCCAGACATGTAGGTTGTCCCCAACCTGCCCCAGCTCCCTGTCCAGAACATGCAGGCTGCCACCAGCCCGCCCCAGCTCCCTGTCCAGACATGTAGGTTGTCCCCAGCCTGCCCCAGCACCCTGTCCAGAACATGCAGGCTGCCACCAGCCCGCCCCAGCTCCCTGTCCAGAACATGCAGGCTGCCACCAGCCCGCCCCAGCTCCCTGTCCAGAGCCTGCAGGTTGTCCCCAGCCTGCCCCAGCTACCTGTCCAGGCCAGGCCTCAGCGCAAATGGACACACCAGTCTGCTTGCTGCTGCATCTGCTGTTCATTCTCATGAAACTTTTCTCTTTAACCCTTTCTGATAAACTCAGACGATGACACAACAACTGATAAACTCTCTAATCACAGGTTTAAAATGTCTATATTGCGACTATCACCTGCTTTTTGCATATTTGTCTTTTCCGGTCTGAGTTTCTCCAACGACAGTTCTCTTCTCTCCAGTGCACGACAGGCACCAGCAATCCAGGCTGAATCTACACTTTTCTGAGTTCTCTCTCTTCCACACCAGCCTCTTTTCTGCCTGCTGGTGCTGACGTCCATGTGATGAGGAGGCTCCCAGCCGTCCGACCCAGAGCACTGCCCAGTTGTTCCCTGACAAGGTCTGCAGCCGCACCCAAAACAGGAACTCTCATCAAAGGCACTAACTCAGCTCCGGCTTTCTGACCATGACCTTCAGCGCATTCCACCTTCCACTGCTCTCATTCCAGCCAACCTGCACGGCCACCTCATACATGCTGTAGCCCACAGCCCATCCTCTCACCTGGGCCCAGACCTGCGCCACGAGAACACCGTGGCAGCCTGCCACCGCCTCTCCTGCATCTCACCCCTGAAACACACGCTAATTCCCAACCAGGACCCACCTGGCCTTCCTAGCACCTGCGGCAGCACAGACGGGAAAAAATGACCGGATCCACTGCAAGTTAATGAATTCTAACCACAGGCCCCAACGAAGGCCAAAATCCATAAAGATTAATCTTGCCAACCAACGAGGATGGTGAGAAGAAAGACGAAGCCTGTGAGACGGCACTTCTGCTGCCTGCCTTGACGGGCATTCACGCACCCCTTTCTCCAAACGCCTCACGTCTCCCCTGCACTCAGGCACGCTGGAGAGCCACAGCTCGCCGTGTCTTCCCTGCAACCGCCAGACGGGAGGGGCGGCAGCTGGACAGGGACGGCCATCACAGCCCTCCAAGGCTGTCACGCAGCCCGTGCTGAGTTCCCCCCTCAGTTTAAAGTCCACGGCATGACAGAAGGTCTGTTCACTGGGCTAGAATTTCGCCCTTGAAACACCTAGCACGGCGCCTGCAGCAGTCGCCCGTTAAGTAGAGCTGGGACTCACCAAGGGTGGGTCAAGATAGCTGTGCGTGGCCGACCAGGTCTGGGGTGCGATGAGGCCGTACAGGGGGAACTGCTGCTGGGGGCTGTACACCGGAGGTAAGTAGAAGGACGCCGTGTAGCGCTGCTGCATGTAGAGGTTCATGTCCAGAGGCCGGAATCCATTCTTTGGCAAAAATGTGTTTATAGCTATTGCCTTTGCTTTTATCCGCGCCTGTGTGAAAGTATTTAAGTTTCTATTAGAATACTAGAAAGCATCAATTTACAAATAAAGAAAGTATAACCAATGGTCTTGCTCACCTTGATTGGCTTTCCTTGAAAAGTTTTAACTTCTTCTCGAAGGTATTTGTAAGCCTGAGGGCAAAATCAAGTACATGATTCCATCTGTTAACCTCGTAAGTAAGATGAACTGACAGCCAATCCAACAGCTCACATAACCAACGCAGTTAAAATACGGTGAAGAGGACCTAGCAGAGGGGCCCCTGGCCCTCTGGGTCACATACTCCTTAAGATAAACTCTTAAGAGCTACAGAACCTCTATCCAAAATTTTCATAAACAAGATTTGTATGCAATTTTTTAAGTATTAATAGATACCATAAAAGTCCCCCAAAGTCCACAGGCTAAGGATCCTAACCTAGGGAAAACGACAAATCCTGAGTTCTTGATATTAATCCCAATGTCACATTGGGATTAAGCAGTTCAGGAAAGGAAATGATAGACAGGAAGGGAGATTAAGATTGCAATATTGAAAAGTTGTTACTTATGTACCTCTTTGTTCTTCTCCAAATTAAATCTTCATTAACCCCACCTCCCTCTGAAGGCTCCCTGCCCCCCAATGCCACCCCTGAGCCAGGCCCGCAGAGTGAGCTCTGCTCTACAGACAGGAGAGCCTTACGTCTCACCACCCTTCTTCCCTTGTGCCACTAAAATCCATCTTTCAGCTTTGCGGGTTTCTCTTCTCCGAATCCCCGACAGCATTTACACAATTCAACGCAGGATAGCACGCTGGCATCCCTTCACGTGTGTTGTTTCCCTCAAACAAGATGCTCCCTTTAAGGGCAAGATCTTAACTCCTACATCTCCTCACAGAACTTACTTCTCTATCCCTGTAATGGCATCTCGCAACACGCAATGATGCTCACTGAAGAATTACGGACAGGTTCAAATTTCCCCCGAACACTTTGCAAACAAGCAAACCTTTCCTCTGCCCGGAGGTAAGAACGGAACTGATTTCCCAAGGCTGCTCGGCTCATCATATCCTCAGAGAATGTGTCACATGCTTTCTCTGTTGTTGCAAAAACTGTCTACACAAACACACCCATTTAAAACTCCCTCAACTTGGTCTTCTCCGCACCTCACATTCAGACCTAACACTGTTGCGTGATGGGGGTCTGGATGCCCACGGTCCCAGCACACGCTAGCATCAAACACTGGCAAACCACACACCGGATGGGGGGTGGGAGAACATACCTGTTGTGCATCAGCTTCTGTCTCAAATGTGATGAACCAATTGTCGTTATAGGCAAATTCACAGTTTATAAATTTCGGTAAGTTATCTCCTTTAAATAGTGCTTCTACTTCCTATAGGAAGGAAATAGAGACGTTAGAAATTAATTCTCAACTATGCCACCTTTTTGTTCTCACCAAAAATTTCTTTGAAATGCATCCTCTTCAGGATCTATCCTTAAGGAAAGTCCGACATAGCATGATGCCTAGTAAACCTCTTTCAAAAAAGGCTGAAAGAGTACAGCGGGGCTCCCAGAGTTAGAATCATAGTGCCACGGAAAACACACAACTTACCAACAGCTTTCTCTACTCCTAAGACACCATAAAGGCAAATTAATGTGAAAAACATCACACCATTTTACCAGGAGACTGATAGCTATATAACTTCTTAAAAAGTAATCTAAGAAATAAAAATAACTACCTGGATTTTTGCTTCTGGCCAAGAGGAACTAGATTTACCCTCCCAGATGACACAATTAAAGACAAGAGACAAGACGCGTGAAAGGTCGGCTCTGAGACACGGGACGCAAGGCAGCATGGGAGAGCGGCCCGGAGAGGGAAGTGAGCATGGTGAGCCCGGCGACCGCCCGGTTCGCGCCTGGACGCTCGGCACAGGCGGCACAGCCGGCAGGAGAGGCTACAAAGGGCCTTGCCAGGCCCCGGCCGGTGAACGACAGCCCCGCACGTGCCAGGAGGGAGGCTCGTCCCCACCCGTTGCAGGGCGCTGCAGAGCAGCAGGGCGCTGCCCCGGCACAGGCAGGATCAGCCCTGAAGGAGAGGCTCCCTCCTGACAAATACCCCCTGAGGGTCACTGAACTGCATTTCAAAACAGCTCAAAATACTTGTACAAATACAAAAATATCTGGTAAAGTAAAATTCAAATTACTCTAGGCACGGAACTTGGCTGGGTCATCACCTTTGCTGCACCTCACAAGTGCTTTCCCTCACAAGCCTGCACACACTGATCCGCTGGGACTGAAAAGCCAACCCCCGGGAGCATGGATACAAAGGCCGGTTTCCTTTGCAGAGAGCGTGTCTGCAGACATGTAGCACAGGTGACCCCAGCTTAGACTGCGTGACGCATGATAAAACGACGACACGCTGGGCGCCCTGCGCTCGCTAAGAGTCCCCACAGCAGGCAGACGTTGTGCCGTGAGGGAGAGGGCTGGGTCCAGCCCCTGGACGAAGACTTCCCTCCTGCGCGTCGCGGGGCGGATGGCGAGCCAGGGGGTTCGGCAACACTTTGCTTTGCGATCGAGAGCGTGTTGCGCAAAGCAAACGGGTCAACACAACCGCGCGGAGGCAAGCGGATCTGCTCACTGTTCTTGAACTATCAAACACTGGGCGCCTAAACAAGACCCAAGTCACTGGCTCTCCCAGGATGAGCTCCGGACCTGCGTTTCACACTGAAAGTAGACTATTACGCCTGCTTCACCCTGAAGAGGTGGGTGCTGACGGCACAAAGTCCCTGGTGAGAGAGGAGATTGGACACTGCCGCCAGGCCATAGGCAAGTACCTCTGGCACTCAGGTTCCTCACCGATAGCCCAAGCCCCCACCACAGACCACTTCTTAAAGTTATTTATCACAATAAAATGGCGTCCTATTTCGTTAACCTGTTACTATTCTTAATTATTCAATATAGATACTTAATTTTGCAGGTCTCCCAAATTAGGATTGATAATTACCAACAAGATCCTGTCTTTCGTAACCCAAGTCGTAAGTGTGAAGGAGCCCTGTGGCCAAGGTTTGAAAACCGCTCCCTCCTACCAGCATGTCACGATATACCCACTCAAGAGTGTAAATCCAGGAAACAGTGCAACTGTTATAAGGACTATTCTTGGTGGGCGCGTGCTCACGCCTGTTAATCCTAGCACGTCTGGAGGCGCGAGGCGGGCATTGGCTCGAGGTCAGGATTCGGAACCAGCCTGTAGCAAGAATGTCGAGACCCCGTCTCTACCATAAATAGTAAAGAAATATAAGTTGGCCCCTTTGGGCTGCGGTGGCTCACGCCTGTAATTCTAAGTCATCTCTGGTAGGGCCGATGGCGGAGATTTGCTCAAGGTCGGATTTCAAAACGCAAGCCTGACAGACCCCGTCTTACTATTCAGAAAATGAAAAGAAGATTTAGATTGCCATTTATAATATAGGTATATATAATAGTATTATATGTAAAGATTAAATAATAACTTAGCCAGGGCGATGTGGCTCTGCCTGTATACCCAGACTTGTGGTGATGCTTGATGGTCAGGTATGATTTGGCTTGAAAGGCTCCAGAGTGTCAATGTTTGCTCGAGGCTAGCTGATGCCTATCGCACCTCACTCTAGCCCTGGCAAGAAAAGCTGAGTGACTTCGTCTCAATAAAATAATAAAAAAAAAAAAAAAGAAACATAATTGGCAACTGAAAATAAGAAGAAGAATAATCTAGACGGGCTATGGTGGCGCACTGGCCTTAGCCCAAGTCTAACTTGGGAGCTGACAGAAGACGCTTAGGCCCCAAGTTTGAGTTGCTGTGAGCTAGGCTGACGCCACGGCACTCACTCTAGCCTGGGCAGCAAAGCGAGACTCTGTCTCACACACACACAAAAAAAGACTTATTCTTTAAAATACACCCTCCAAAAAATACAGAGGTAAAAAAAAAAAAAAAATCAAAGCCAAGGGAGACCCTCAGGAAAACGCCCAAGTGCCCTTCAGAGACGGTACTTACTTCCACAGGGGTAGACTCAGATACTTCACGCAGAATCACGATGCAGCGGTTCTGATTTGGCCGTACTTTCTCTCCCTTCTCATCCACTTGGACTAAGGGTAAAGCTACAAAGACAAGAAAAATCAATGGTAAAAAGGTATTAAAATATGATACTTCAGTGGAATATGTTACGCCACATTACTAAAGAAACCTGTAAACAAAGAGCAAACTGTTAAAATTTTTGCTCGTCTAGCAAAGACCATCAGAAGGTTTTAAAACCAACCTTAAATTTTTCAAAGCTAAGAAATATGGAAATTTAAAAACTACATAGCATATGTAACACTATGAAACTAAGGTTCTAAGCAGCTCAAATACTAAAAAATATAAAAGTAAATTAAAATATACGGCAGATGGCTTTTTCCTTTCAAAAAGTCCCTAAAACAAAATAATTGTGTATTATCATCTGTCATTTTGCAAGAGTTCTAAGACTCGTGAAGTTCCTGCGTGTCCTTCCCAGGCGCCCCCTAACGTAAGCATCTCAGTCACCGCTGTGTGCTGCTAACAAAAGCACAGGACACTCGCGCCGGCTCGGCACCAACAACTCAGCAACGGACCTGACGCGGGCGGAGCCGGCTTTACATGCACCTATGTGCTAAGTCTGAGTTCTGCTGTCACTTGTATGAAGTTATGCCGCACACAGGCGCGAGGCACAGCACACATGACCACAATCAGAGCTCAGTGATATCCGTCACCACAAAGACACGCACCCCCAGCCTCGGGGACGAAGGCGCCAACATCACTGCAGCTTCTACCAATGGATACTAAAAGGGCATTAAGAGAATAGCATGAAAAATTTCACACTAATAAATCCGACAACTCACTTGAAATAGAAACATTCCTTAAAAGACACATTAGCAAAGCTCAATTTGGAAAGAGCTAATTGGAAAAACCTGCATCTATGAAGAAAACAGGATTTGTAGTTAAAAATCTTCCCACAAAGAAAACTCAAGGTCCACATGGTTTCACTGGAGAATTCTATCCAACAATTAAGTGAAACATATTATCAATTCTGTAGTACAAACTATTCCACAAAACTATAGACGAGTGAATACTGGCACAATTTCCATAAATACTAGAGTTGATTGAGTTTAACAAAGTTTTAGTATGCAGAACAAGATTAACTAATAATTGAGAGGCTGAGGAAGGAAGATCACTTGAGCCCAGGAGTTCAAGACTGCAGTGAACTGTGATGACAACACTGCACTCCAGCCTGGGTGACAGAGCAAGACATATTACCATGCAGCTCTGAATCCATTAAAAACACATACTTCAGTTTTATACATACCCAAACTTTATATATACGGTATCATCTTGTACATACTTAGAAATGTTTTTATCAATATCATTTTAAAATTTACTCTTGTTGAAAAATGTAGGCCTTGTTCACTTTAATTTTAATGATTTTAAATGTAAAAACAAAGCACTTGGGTCAGATATACTGTGAGGTACATTATATGTGCATTAAGATATAAAATAGCCTAGAAATGTAATTTATACAACTGAATCAACACTAGAGTTGCAGTATTCAAATTAAAATACCCATCAAGTGTCTACTATGTCTGATTCTCTGCTAGGTATTTTGGGGGCAAGATTCAAACATAAGATGAGAACTTTGCTCGTGGGGCCTTATTTATGGCCCCCTATTCTGAATTAGAACGAACATGCTAACTGTATTCTGACCGCACAGGTTACTGCAGCTGCACGTGTTTCTCTATGTCCAAAAACTGACTGAAGAAAGACAATGAGACACTGAAGAGCCAAACAGAGATGGATGTAAGGTAACCATTCAAGAGTCGTCTGGAAGTACAGCTCTAGAGAAGGCAGGTGGGGCTGGAGGGGACAGGCCGGCTCCCAGGAGCACCTGCACGGAGCAGCCGCAGCCCCTGCTCGTCTGCAGGAAGGACCCCCGGCCAGCAGGACTCAGCTGAGAAACCACCCTCCGTGGGGCAGCAAAGTCTGCAACGTATGACTGAAGCGAGTAACTCAATCTGGGATTCCTAGCAATAACCGAAAAGAGCAAAGTACAAATAGAGACAAGAAAGCTGCTAGTCTTTGGAAAGCGCGGCCCGGCTCCAGGGACACCAGTCACAGGCTTCCGTGTGACACGGAACTCCGGAAAGCACAACGCCTGAACGGTGGGGCTCTCAGAAGTCTGCGGTCTCCCTGCCGCCTCCTTCACAACGCAATTACCTACGGCGTCTGTCCAACGACAGAAAAACAGAAGACAACGTCTAACTGTGAACAGAGACTCCAACGAAGCTCCAAGGTAAGATCTTCACCTTTTCACACTACTGTTAAGTCAAATGCACACGAGGAGAAGAGCACCCCACGCTGCCTGTGACCAGTGCGGCTGAGCCAGGGACGCCGTGACACGCTCCTGCACGTGTGTGAGCAGGGGAAGTCACAGTGGTGAGAGGAGTGAGCTTTACACCGGGCACAGCGCTGTCTGACCGTCAGAAACCAGGCAGGTGAGCAGCGGGGGCACAGCGCCACCCTCGGCTACCAGGCAAGGACACCACAGCAATAACTCACCTGTTATCGGGACCCTCGTATAAAAAGGGGATTGTAAGTGAGAACAACGCAATATACAGAGAAATCCAACATACCCCACATTTCACAGGGAAGGAGTCCACAGAGCAGCCTCCCGGGCAGGGACCCACGTAGGGCCTGGGGGTCTGTTCAGGCCGCGTCCCCCTCACGCCCACAATCACCGTGCGCCTCCAATGTGCGCACACTCGGTGTCAGTTTCACCTCGGTAACGCGGGTCTCCTTCTTTTAAAAAGGAAACAAACAGCACAGAAAGGCTGTGGAGGCCCAAATCTGCCAGGAGGCAAACCATCCATGACTGACTAGAGAGGCAGAGACTCATGCCCATTGAAATCCTGCGGGTCTGTAATGCAACTTTCAGACACTCGTTTGATGTTGCCCAACTTCAAAGACACAACCTCATTCACAATATCCTTTTAAAGAAAAATGCAATCGTATTTCATCAAAATTTAAGCAGGAAGTTGAAATTTGAAAGAAATGCCTTTAGTGGCAAAAAATATAGTCAAAATGCATTTCCCTTTAACCATAAATACTGTTACTCCTGTTTTGTTCTTCATGAACATAATAGCTGCCTGAAAAATCTCCACCACCAAGATTCTTTTCTGCTTTGTATGAACCCAAAACCTGTTTGAGGTTTCAAGACAGGTTCAACCAGCCACCGACACTGCTGGGACTGGCCGGAAATGGGCAGGAGAGCAGGGAAGGAAGCAATTCACCACCAAGCACTGGGACATTTGGTGTCTATGGATCTGAAGGTTCACACTGATAAGACAATCACTGTAAAGTCCAGTCTTATTCATTGACAATTGTCATTTACTTACATCTTAGCACTTCGACAATTAAATCCACATCAGTGCTGAGTTTCTTGATGTGGTCAAGGTTAGCCACCGTCTTAATGGGCACGTACTGATCGCTGTCCATCTGGGATATAAGATACATATCACTAGCAAGGTTCTCCCTGTTGAAAGAAAACAATCTCTTTAAATAAGTATTTTTTAAAGGGAAGGTTCACCTACAGCAATACCCGTTTCACAAGAAGTGTGGGTGCAGGCCGGGCGCAGTGGCTCACGCCTGTAATCCTAGCACTCTGGGAGGCCGAGGCGGGCGGATGGCTCCAGGTCAGGAGTTCGAAACCAGCCTGAGCAAGAGCGAGACCCCGTCTCTACTATAAATAGAAAGAAATTAATTGGCCAGCTAAAAAATATATACATAGAAAAAATTAGCCAGGCATGGTGGTGCATGCCTGTAGTCCAGCTACTCAGGAGGCTGAGGCAGGAGGATCGCTTGAGCCAGGAGTTTGAGGTTGCCGTGAGCTAGGCTGACGCCATGGCACTCTAGCCCGGGCAACAGAGGGAGACTCTGTCTCAAAAAAAAAAAAAAAAAAAAACAAAGACGTCAGCTAGCGTGGGGTACAGAGTGGCCCAGCTTTGGAGCTAGACCAGACTCCAAACTGCTTCTGTTATTTGCCGCCTTTCTGGCCTTAGGTAACGTTTTTCAGAGTGTCTTAAAGAGGCAAGAGAGGAACCGTATAAAGTGTACTGCATTTTATACAATTAAAATTAATGAGCGGATAATTCTAGGATGTAGTTATTCACAGGTTAGTTTTGTCCTAAAAGGTACGTGAGTCGCTAAAGAACCAGCAACTCGACCCGCAGCGTCCAAAGGTAGCTGTGAGTAATCAGTTTCGGCTGGACGAGCTCTTTCCTGGTGTTTTGGCCAAAGACTGTCCCTTGTGAATTCTCAGAACACAACGTATTAACACAGTGAGCAAAGCCCCCAAACTAAACACAGTTGGGGCCTCACAGGACCTTGTCTCCCACCCGCTCTGTGGGTGCCATGGCAGTCGTGGCACTCGCCGAGTGAGGGTGTGGGGAGCCCCACGCTGCCCTCATCTCAGGGGCTGCCTGACGTGGGTGGTGGGAGATTCCACTGCTGTGCGGCGCACGGACAGAGGGACCCCCACCACACACCTGTGTGGGATCCGCAGGGCCCCCAAGAGAACACCTGAGGAATCACCGCCACTGAGGGAAAGCCCTGCACACGGCCAATGAGCTACTGTCACTCTCAGGGAAAATCACACTTAACCCCATCCCATCTTCCTGTGTGTCCAGTTTCTGCCATTTGAACTTTAAGGAGTCTAATAAAACAAAGTTCTGTTCACAAGAAAAGCCTAAAAATATAAGAGCTACATAAAGAAAACAATTTGTCGTTACAGTATTTGGTGCATTTTCAGAAACACCGTAGGTTATTTGCTCTCAAACTTCAGTGAGGTTGAAAACTCTGAGGCCCCACCCTAGGAGAGGAGGACTTGGGGGGGGGAGCGGAATCCGCCTCTCAACCAGTCAGGAAAACGGTCGTCAAGCTGGATCTGTGGGCCCAGCTGTGGGGGCTGCAGACATGAGGATCACATCCAGTTCCCCAACATATCAAAAGGAAGTTATCACTTAATATCTTAAATTTCCTATTAAAATGTACATATACAGATAACAGATATATATTACTGCTTCGTAAAATGTCGCATTTGCAAATAATAACCAGTGCATAACATAGACATTAGGTACTGGAAAAACCACTGCCAGCCTTACCTAGACAAGCAGAATTCCAATGTTTTCTTAAGAACTTCTCGGGGGTCTTCCTGGCTTTCTGGATGAGACTCATTTCCTCCTACATAAAAGTAATGATCAACTCAGGAAAATGGCTTAAAATTTACCAAGCAGAGAATGCAGTACAACAATTCTAGTGTTTTCTTTTTTTTTTTTTTTTTTTTTGAGACACGACCTCTCGCTTGCTTCCCGGCTAGAGTGACGTGCCGCTGGCTTCAGCATCACGCTCCACGCCTCACACCTCTGCTTAGGGCTCAAGCAACCTCCTACTCGCTCAGCCTCACGTGCTCGCGCGCACTCACCGCGCTCGCCCGCACATCGCTCGGCTCACCCTCTCTCTCTCTCTCTCGCTCTACCTACTCCGCTTGCACTTCACTCTCTTCTCTATCTCTCTCACCCTCGCAGACGGTCTCAGCCTCTTGCTCAGGCTTGTTTTGAACTCCTGACCTCAACGCAATCCACCCGCCTCGGCTCCCAGAGTGCTACGGAATTACAGCGTGGAGCCACTGCGCCTGGCTAATTCTAGTGTTTTCGATGTATATGTTAACATAGTTACATAAGTGTACAGAGATTAAGAAAAATGCAATTATTTTACCAACTAAAAAAATAAATCATGCAAAAATCCAAAATAGAACCAAATCCCCCTCCTTACCCCCTGAACACAAGCAACACATTTTAGAAAAATAATTTGTGTTTCATTTAGCAGGGGACTTTATCACCAAATAGAGAGTGGCCAGACGCGGTGGCTCACGCCTGTAATCCCAGCACTCTGGGAGGCCGAGGCGGGCGGATCGTTTGAACTCAGGAGTTCAAGATCAGCCTCAGCAAGAGGCGAAACCGTCTCTACTGAAAAATAGAAACGAATTTCCTGGACATATTAACAATATATAGGGAAAAAATTAGCCGTAATGGTGGTGGGCATGCCTGTAGTCCCAGCTACTGGGGAGGCTGAGGCAGGAGAATTGCTTAGCCCAGGAGTTTGAGGTTGCTGTGAACTAGACTGATGCCACGGCACTCTAGCCTGGGCAATAGAGTGAGACTATCTCAGGAAAAAAAAAAAAAAAAAGTAGGCAGAAATCACTAAGAATAGAATAAATCTGAACAGCACTATTACCCAACCTGAACTCGTTAACATTTATAAAACACTCCCCACCATAACAACAAAATACACATTCTTCTCAAGTGCAAGTGGAATATTTAACACAATAACCCATATTTTAGGTCATAAAACAAGTCTTAATAAGTTTAAAGAGATTCAAGTCATACAAAGTGTATTCTTTGAAAACAATGGAATTAAACTGGAAATCAATATAAGAAAGATCCCCGGGAAATCCCCAAATATTTGGAAAATAAATTGCATACTTCTAAACTACCCACAGACCAAAGAAAAAAACTGAAAAAGAAATTAGAAAGTATTTTGAACTCAGTGAAAATGAAAACATAACATATCAGAATTTGGGAGATTCTGCTGAAGCACTACTCATGGGGAAATCAGTAAAAATAATGACTATATTAGAAAATAAGAAAGGCCTCTTGTCAGCCAACTTGGCATCCACCTTAAGACACTAAAAAAAAGGCAAATTAAACCCAAAGAAACCAAATATATTATAAAGATGAAGAAAAAAACAATGAAATAGCAAAGAGTAAAACAACTGAGAAAATCAATGAAACGAAACAGGGATTTTTGAGAATGTCTATAAAATTGACAAACTTCTATCCAGATTGATCAACAGAAAATAGAGAGAAGACACCAATTATGGTTCAGTAATGTGCCGTGACTATAGACCCTACAGACTCTGAGCAAATAGTAACAGAGCACCATGAGCAACTCTGAGCAATAAACTGCACAACATAGACCAAATAAACCAAATCTTTGTAAAATATACAAAACCCAAAGCTCCCTCAAGAAGAAATAAATACCCTGAGTAATTCTATACGAAAAAAGAAAGTATAGTCGCAAAACTTTCCCACAAAGAAAACTCCAGGCCCACGTGGCTTGCTTTACTTCCTCACGTAAGGAAGAAATAACATGCAACCCTCTTCCAAAAAACTGAATACGAGGAATACATTGAAAAGAGCACTAGAGGCCAGGCGCAGTGGCTCACGCCTGCAATCCTGGCACTCTGGGAGGCCAAGGAGGAGATCGCTTCAAGGTCAGGAGTTCGAAAACCAGCCTGGGCAGGAGTGAGACCCTCGTCTCTATTATAAATAGAAAGCAATATTAATTGCCACTAAAAAATATATATATGAAAATGGCTGGCGTGCGTGCACAATATCTGTTATTCCAGCTATTCGGGAGGCTGGGCAGAGGATCCCTTGGAGGGCCCAGGAGTTTGGAGGTTGCCGTGGCTAGGCTGATCGCTGGCATTGCTGGCACACAGGAGTGGAGACTGTCTCAAAAAAAAAAAAAAAAAAAAAAAAAAGAACACTAGAGATCAGTATCCCTCATGAATACAGGTATAAAAATTCTAAGCAAAATTTCGTTAAATCTAATTAAACAACATATCAAGAGTGTACTCTGCATTATGATCTACAGATATTTATCCCAGGAACGTTAAGGATAGCTTAACATTTGAAAACTGATTAATATAATTCATCCCAACACACTAGAGAAAACAAACGTACAATGATCCTCATAGATGAGAAATTCCAACACCGACTCCTCAAACTCTCTCATGCAACCAATGGAGGGTACTCTACCATACAAACCACCCTCTCACCTCCTAATTTCAGTACCCTGTCTGGCCGGCAAACAGTCCCCTTCTCCTTTCCCCACACCGCCTCCCCTCCACTCCTACGCCACTGCTCCTCCAGTCCTTCTTCTTTCCACCACCCGCTCCCCTCCACTCTACGGCACTGTCCGTCCAGGTCCTTCTCCTTTCCCCACCACCCGCTCCCCTCCAACTCTACGGCCACTGCTCCGTGTCGGGTCCCTTCTCTTTCCCACCACGCTCCCCCTCCACTCCTACGGACTGCTCCGTGTCGGTCCCTTCTCCTTTCCCACACACGCTCCCCTCATCCTACGCCATGTCCGTGTCCCGGGTCCCTTCCTTCCCCCACCACCCGCTCCCTCCACTCCTACCCAACCTCGCATCGGGGCTTTGTTCATTGAGACACTCAGCACAATAGGTTCACCTCATGTCTCCTCCTAGTTCCACAACACCACGCTCCTCAGGGCAGATCCCCCTCTCAAGCACTCCTTGCACTGGCTCATTATTTTTATAGGCTCGAGTGTCCAGAGTGCTCTGCTTCTACTTGTTCCCTACCAACCGCTTCATCCTTCAACTTTAACAAGGATAACGCACTTAGCTCAATGTTCAGTGGCTCCTCGCGATGTGTTTCCTCTCTCTCTCGTCACCACCCGCTCCCCTCCACTCCTACGGGCCATTCTCCAAGTGCATGCAGGTGACCGAAGTGTCTCACTATCTTCGTCCCACCACGTCCTGCTCCGTATAGTTCTTGCTCTCTAGCTCGCGCCATCAACAGTGTATGAGTGTTTGTCCCTGTTGTTCCTGGGCGATTCCCCACTCTCTCAGTTTCCCCACCACATCCTATGTGGCTCCCTCCACTCCTACGGCAATGGTCGTGTCCGGTTCTGGCGATCCTCCTTTTTCGCCCATAAAAAGTCCCACCATGCGCGCGGTTTAACCGCTGATCCACTCCTTCTCAATCTGGCCGATCTTGTGCTCTCTGTGCTCGGGCGGATCTCTCCTCTCTCTTTTCCGCCCACACCACTCCGGCTTCTCCGGTGTACCCAATTGAGTTTTTTTCCGTTGACGCACTTGTCGTCCTGATTTTGCGGCTCCTCTCTCCGGAGGCCTCAATGTCTGTTCCCTCGTTTTGAAGAAGCTCAATTGTCCCCCAGCACCAACACCCTGAGTTCTTCACCACTGGATTGCTCACCTTTCAATGGCATTCTCCGGACTCTCCTGGGTCTGGATTAATATTTGGGTCTTGGTTTGATCTTGCTGGTAAGTTGAATTCTTGTAGATTGACTGGACTTAGTTGTCGACCGTCTCATTTCCAGGACTGGAGTATGTCCTGACGTAGCAGGTCGCTGCTCATGCTCTTGCCGTCCCTCTCCCGTATGCGATGTTCAGGTAAGTAGAACTGCATGAGGCACGCGAAAGGCATCAGTCGGGATGTCAGCTAGAATGAGTCGGGGAATAAGTCTAAGCCGCACCCTAGTGCTTCGGTAGGGCTAATATTGTCCGGTCCCTCTGGGCATGTGAGCAGCATTAGCCTCGTGTCCTCTGTTAATGCTCTTAACAGGCGCAGAACTCGATCCCCACTCTGATGTGGACTCAGAGCCATTTTGTTGTGGTTCGTGCATGTTGTTCTGTATCAGACTTGGGTTCCTAACTCCTTGCGCTGGCCAATAAATCCTATCTCTGACTGGCCTTATGTCACCATCGCATGCTGGTAGTCCCAAACCCATAAATTAGGATTTTACCCATGTCTTGAGCCTGTTAGGGGGTAAGATCGTTTTTAGAAGAACTTTCTCTACAGTATTTTTCCAACGTTCTTCGGCCAGTATGTGTGTCTAGAATTCTGTATGCGTTTCATTCTGTAGTTTACGAGTTTGTTTATGATGCCCTCAACTAGGGTCTTCTTGTACGTGATTGCTGTAAAAAGTAAAAGGACTGAGAAATGCCTACTCTCTGGCCCACGCATGTAAAACAACCGACAACTAGCCTGCTGAGGTCAATGAATGCGCTAGTCAGACCCGTGAAAAA